ACAGAAGACTGCCACAACAGCAAACTGACCTACCTGGCAGTAAGGAAATGCTATACTTTAAGAACTGTCAGTGGAAAGATTGAACTTTCAAAACTATATCAATTTTAAGGCCATTGTGTAAATAAAATAAAATAAAAATATACTTGGGTGGCCATTAGTATACCTGAGTGGCAAGTGTATATTTGGAAAATACTGCTCGCTGCCTCCTTCAGTCTGTGTCCTGTTTATTTGCTAGGCAGCAACTTTGTTCTGTGGCTTTGCTCTTCACAGAAGTTAAATATAATGGTTTGTTATATTTTGTAAATGTCAAGAAAGTTTATAAACAGTACCTTGGAAAAACTTGTCAATGAAGCAGGCTTATGTTTTCCAGCAGCAGTATAAAGCCCCAAGGGCTGGGCTATTGGTAATCACCAGGCAACTGACTAACTGGCTGTGTCCTCTTTAACCATCTTAAAAGTAATCCCTTATTGTGCTCTCTATAAAGACACTGTTATTTATCAAGGCAGGAGCACATGTCAATTTGTATTACTCAACAAAAATTGGATATTGGAAATACTGAGTTTTTCCTTATAAAATAAAAAGAATATAATAGGACTGTGATTTTAAACAGCCATTTTTGAAGTGGGGTTTAAGTTATTCAAGTCTAAAATGCATAGACTTCTGTTAGGTCAGGTAACACAGGTTTCTTAGCCTTGACAGTCACTCCCAAAAGACTGGTTTTGAGCCAAAGTAAACCTTTTATAGACGGGAAGCAGTGTAAAGGTCTTGAAGTTCCTGGAGCGAATGAAATGTCTTAAATCTTCTTCTTATTAACATGTAAAGTTGTAACCAACCTTCACACACATTTATATAAATCAGTCGGATTAGGTGAAAACCAGTGAGTTATAGTGTATATATGGATAATGCTGAAACCTGTGAGCTACTATTATTGAACAGGATGGCTGTTTCGTATGAATGTCGCTGCTCTGAGCACAGCATTTGGACTCTCTGCAGCATTATGTAATCCCCGACCTTCCACTTCCCTTTTCAAAGCCAGTGGTTTTTGGCAGGCGTGTGTTTCAGCATCGGGGGTGACTGTTTCGACCTGCGGTTACTGTATGCGTGATAGCAGTTTTAAGGGGGGGTTAAGTAGTTGAGAGTTGCTAGTTTCAGTTTGATGTCATAGTCCAGATATTTCCCAGCTTTTCTCTTCTCTGTGTACGTGTTTTTTGCCAGCAGTTTATTAACAGCCATTATCAGCCAGAGATACCTCATCATATCTGCATGTGTTCTTGCAGTCTGCATGTCTCCTTTCAGGGCTGGCTGCTGCAACTGCTTTAATGGATGGATGATGCAACTCCTCTCTCTTCTCCCTACCAAGCAGCTGAGAGTGTGTGTGTATTTCTTTTAGACAGAGAAAGACATAGAGAGGGGGATGTCGCTGAATGAAGCCTAGGCTGGATGTTTGCACTGCAGGGTGGGTGGTTGCTAGGCAATAGCAGTGTGTTTGTTTTATTTTTAGAGAGAATCACTGTGGGTGAACATAACACGTTTGTCCCTTTCTCATAGCACGTCTAAGTGCTTTTTCTTAACATACAGTACATTAAAATACAGGCTACACAAGAGTGGAAAATATGAGCTTAATTTAGAAAATCTAGTTGTCATAATCACGTAGCAAGAAAGCAGTTTAAAAAATGTCAATGGCATGGTTCAACTCCTCACCCTAGTCATGAAATCTAAACCATCCTGGCGTATTTATAGAGTATCTTTTTCTCGCACATAGACTATGACACTGCACGCATGCGCAGAGCAGACACAAACGCACACACACACATACGTGAAACCAGCTGTAGTCACTCCTTGCACGTACCAACCTTTTTTGGGCACATGGCCGTCACGCTGTGTGTCTTTGTGTGTGTGTGCGAGTGTGCGAACTCATGTGGGAAGTAACACCCAGTGAAAAGTCAATATGCAGTCAAGGCTCTTTTGATTTTTATAGCTTTTCATTGATTTCGAGATCTCGTGAGTGTAACAACAACCATGCGTTTTGTGAATCGCCCCATACTGTAGCAGTTGCTCACATTTAGGTCTGAATTGATTCATGCGAAGAGAAAATACCAGAGAAAAGTAAAAGGAAGGTTTTGGAGACTGTAGTGGGTATCATGATCTAGCCACCAATTTTCATATTGGTATCCCAGCTACCATAGGGCGAGAGGCAGGGTACACCCTGGACAGTTCACCAATCTGATGATTTTTTTAGTATGTTCTTATTTTTAGACTAGTCAGCTATTGTTTCCTTGTCTACTTTAAATAATTTGTAAATTAGTTGCTAGAAACGTTCCTAATTTCAACATTAGAGGTATTAAAACATATCCAGCTTTTTTAGTCTCAATAGCAGTGCGTTTACCTTGGATTTGGCCTGAGTGCTGTGCCAGTAGTTAATTGGCTTTATTCCTAGTTATGATGAAGACATGGGGATCATTATTAAATGTTGAAGGCTTTAACTAAATATCGTTTAGTAAATGGACAGAAGAACAAAAATAGTGTTGATTTAACAACTTTATTTGCACTTTCAGCTTAATGTGAGAGTCTCTCTTGGGTATTGCTGTCATTTGCAGTTATGCAAGTTTTTTTCTCTTCTGTTTGCCCTTTAGGCAAGGGTGTAAGTGTGTGTACTTATTTGACCTTTTCACACACAAACAGTGAACAGTTATGTCAGTTATGTTGACATTTCACTACATTACTGGAGATTTATTTATGGGGTGTATTAACTCTTCACAACTGTCTTTTGGGTCATGCTTATTTTTTCAACAGTCAGCAAGAGTTACCAGAGTTAGGTCTGATGACTTCTTCGTGAACATGGACATTTAACTAGGGACAAACAGCTGTTTGTCTGGTGATTTGGATCTTAGTTTCAGAAGGGTTACAGCCCTACTCTAAGTGCAGTAAAATCTTTGAAGGACATGTCTTCAGCACAACATTATAATGCAGCTTTCCCATTATTTCCAACTCACTTAATCATTCTTTGCCATTAAATCGTGATTAAGATTGAAGTACTGTAATGTAGCAAACCTCAAATAACTGCTGACCCTTTGTAGTGACGTAGCATGGTTTCTCTCATGCTCTGTCATTTACCTTTTATAGGTAGTAAACTAGTAAAAGATAGATTAGCAAAGTATAGACTTCAAATGAATATCTGCTGTTTTCACAGCTGGTGTGCTAACAGTATAGGGTTTTCCATCAGATAAGTTGAGCCCGACTCAGCTGTTGCAAAAGCAACACACAATGTCCTTGGCAAGGTACAGAGATGACAAAAGCTTGTACATTTCTAGTAAATTGCTTCCTAATGAGCAGTCCTACAGTTTCTCTGCATTTGTTGCATCATAACATAGCATACTTGCTAACTTTCCACTGCAGTAAAATCTCTCCTGATGACATAAACGTCTTCCCACTCTTGGCATCCAAGAAATCGTGGATACACAGGGCCTTGAAATGTTAAGAACTAATGACGTCTGCCCGCCTGACGCCACTGGCTTTAATAATTAAAAGGCTGATTGTGATTAACTCATGGACAAAGAGGTTCTGCGGTTCTTTTTAAGTGAACAAGGTTTATGTTGAGGAAAAGACCAAACACGACTCAAAGTGAGATTTAATTCAGCTCTTGGCAGCAGAGAATCTATGCCCTGCTGATTCAGTAATGCCTCTCCACTTCCCGACAACAAGTTAACTATGGTATTAGTTACTGTGTGTTCAGAGTGAAAGAGGTTCTGTGTGCTGGGTGAAGCTTCCACAGTGTAATCCTCGACTCTGTGGTTCCTCCTCAGCTATCTTTGTCTTGTCAGGATCTCTGGCTCTCACCCTCCATTGAGTAATTAAAAGCTTTCAGTACTCACGGTATGAAGCAACCTACTGAACTACTGACATCAAAAACCGGTGATTTAGAGAGATTTATAGTACAAAGCACATTATTATGCACTTTAAAATGTTGTGTTCTGTTATAGAACTGCCAAAGTTGTGATCTGTGAACTGAAAATGGCTTTTTATCAAACGTGTACAATAAGATTTATAAATGCAGTCATTAATTGTTTATTTCAGTATTGCTGTTTTCTAAGCATAGTCTGAACAATTCTGGATTATTACATTGTACAACATGGGAGTTAAAGTTTAGAATTTGGAACTGACGTGAAGACCTTCAATGTATAGTTTTTTGGTCAGTATGTGCAGTTATTCATATATGATAACATGCATCAACTTAATGAGTTTATCAGTGCAGAGGGTTTCCCACACAACTGAAATACAGTTAGTTCTATATATCTTTGAACACTAACATGTTCCAGTTATGTACATGGACATAATGTGTAGACTCTGTAGTGCACAGAACCAAAATTAGTAAAAAGTTGTCTCTGTCCAAATAATTATTTTCACAGGGTGCGCCAACGCGTTCTTAAATTATCGATAACAAAAATCCATCGTCTTATTCTTCTTTTGGCTTCTTGCTAGTGTTTACCACAGTTGATCATCTGCCTCCATCTTGGGCAGTTATTTTGGTTCACATGTTGATTTGGAGAAGGTCTTATAGCGCCCTTGCTGATGTAGCCATCTCATTTTATCCAAGCTACCTCGTGAGATTGAGGTAGATGATCCGCTAAACAGCCAAATGAAAATGAAACAGTCTATCCAATCAATAGACATTATGGAGAAGACATTCAGTGATATTGAGAACTACCACAATAGTTGCCTGGTCAGTTTGTCATTAGGGAAACAGAAAACTGAAAGGATGAGTGGAATGTTTACTATACAGAAACATGATAGAATTACTTGGACTAACATACCTTGGTGGTTACCTATAGGAAAGTCTATGTGTGGGAGCACTGGCTATAGGTCTAACTCAAAAACTTACAAAGTTGGTGTTTATGGTGTGGTCAAAGTTACTGACTTTGTGCAAGAGATACTATTTTCTTTGTCTTTGCTGTTTATAGTGCAATGTTTACTAAGTTGCCTTCTTCTCTTCCACTCTCTAGCTATAGGCAGCAATGGGTGCATTCCTGGACAAGCCGAAGACGGAGAAACATAGTGCCCACGGTGAGGGCAATGGGCTGCGTTACGGCCTGAGCTCCATGCAAGGCTGGAGGGTGGAAATGGAGGACGCCCACACAGCTGTGGTGGGTCTTCCCCATGGACTCACCGACTGGTCTTTCTTTGCTGTCTACGATGGTCACGCTGGCTCCCGGGTGGCCAACTACTGTTCTGGTCACCTGCTGGAGCACATCTTGTCAGGAGGGGCTGAATTTGCTTCAGGACCCAGCTCCGTGGAAGGCGTGAAAGACGGCATCCGCTCTGGCTTCCTGAACATTGACGAGTATATGCGCAGCTTCTCAGACCTGCGGCAGGGCCTGGACCGCAGCGGATCAACGGCAGTATGCGTGTTGCTCAGCCCGACCCACCTCTACTTCATTAACTGCGGTGACTCACGGGCTGTGCTTAGTCGAGACAGCAAGGTGGGCTTCTCCACCCAAGACCACAAGCCCTGCAACCCACGTGAAAAGGAGCGCATCCAGAATGCTGGCGGCTCAGTCATGATCCAGAGGGTAAACGGTTCCCTGGCTGTGTCCCGGGCCCTGGGGGACTACGACTACAAATGTGTGGATGGTAAGGGCCCCACGGAGCAGCTGGTGAGCCCCGAGCCTGAGGTATGTGTGTTGGAGCGGGTAGCCGAAGGAGACGAGTTTATAGTCCTGGCGTGCGATGGGATCTGGGATGTCATGTCCAACGAGGAGCTGTGTGAGTTTGTCCATTCACGACTTCTGGTGTGTGACGACCTTGAGAAGGTCTGTAACTCAGTGGTGGACACCTGCTTGCATAAGGTAAGTTGTTTCTCATATGTGGTGTACATTTAAGGTGAAAGTGGGCAGAAACAGAGTTGTTTTGACTAGTTTTACTGATAGGATTATGATTTTAAATGCAAAATTTTACTTTAATGTATTTCCATGGGGCCGAGCTGTATCACAGTTACAAATGTCTGAAAGATTACTTGTTGCATGCAAACCAACAATAGCTTGGTGAATGTGTAGGTAATAATCTGTTTAGAAGGCTGATTTGCTCTAGTGGGAAAGTATTTGAAGACTATTTACTCTAGTATACCAAATGTCAGAGCAGATCTGGTTATTAGAGTAAATCCAAAAGCTATTTCTGAGGGTGTCAGAGAGACACGCATCTTAAACAATACTGTTTGAAAAATGAAGACTGACTCCAATTGCAGCTGGTTGTCCTTGTTTAACTCTGAAGACTCAGTGAGCTCAGTGTAGCAGCATATGAAGGAGTTTCCACTAGCTGTAGGCTCCAGTTAAAGTGGCCGTCCGGTTTATGCTGGAATCTCCAGAGCAGAAAAAAAAGACTACTGTTGGAATCTCATCCTGCAATCTTAGACTCAGACTATCTGATAAGGGATTATAAAAACTTCTGATTGATTGGGAAACAGAAGACCAGGTCGGGGTTAGCACTGACTAAACTATCAAATATGAGAGAACAATTGTCCAGAAGTATATGGATGGTGCCATGCCCCTGATGGATTTTTTTAAAGTGCTAAATAAGTTGTCAGAAACACTTGGGCAGCAGTTCACATGCCTGGGCACCTCGCCTAAGTGAAATGTATTTGTGGGAAACAGCTGCCACTTTTCGTAATAGAAATCTAATGCCATATAAAAAGACCAAATATAGCATATTAAAGTAAAAGATGGACAACTGCAGCTGAGTGTAACAAAAATAATACACATCTAAATATTTAAAATGCTTTATGTCTCACAGTGAAAGACAATGTGATGAATAATGCACTGGTGCTTTAAATTCTCTCATTATCCAATGGCTTTAGCAGAATCTATTAGACTATTACACTCTGCATCACTTATTTTGTGTCTTGGGTACTCCAAGAATCAGTGAGTGCACAGCACCTTGGTTATTTTTACCTTGCTGTACGCCACACGCTGCTATAAATTTCCTCCACTGCAGCGGCTTTTTGTGATGTATGTGACACTGTACACTTACAGAACATTACTGTGACCAATTGGAGTTTTACAAGGTAATGACAAGGTGGCTACCCATTTGGTTAAAGGCCAAGGAACTGTGTGTGTCCTATAAATGCCAATTAATGTAGTGTTTTACACTGGCCCTCCAGCTAAAGAAACGCATTCTTCATTCTCTCTCTCCAATCTTTGCTCTCCAGGGGAGCAGGGACAATATGAGTGTGGTGCTGGTGTGTTTCTCTGCGGCTCCCAAGATCTCAGAGGAGGCTGTGAAGAAGGAAGAGGAATTGGATAAATACTTGGAAACCCGTGTTGAGGGTCAGCATTCTGAACACACACAAACAAACCTGCAAACTATGACTGTATGATTTTGGGTTTGCAATAATTCTTATTTTGCCTTTAAGGACATCCCTTTTCTTTACTTTTATTTTTTTCAATAAAAGCCAACCTTCACTCACCACCAGGCTGTGAAAAGTTTAGTATGCTTATTCAGTCCCCCCC